TCTTGGATGCCGATCATCCAAAGCAACTGTTTTATCAGAGTTATTTGTATTGACTCAATGTTACTGTTTTACAACTTTGTAAACATGGTCCACCTTAGGAGTACGTTCTCAGGTGGAACATCAATCAACCGTACCAAGAAAGAGCACGCAGGGAAGAAAATAAAGCAGCCGTAGCTGAGAGTGTACACGAAGACCGTGGAGAGCCGATTCGGTGCCGTTCGTAGTAACTCGGATTGACGTATAGAACGACTTGGCGCATTTTAGGTCGAGAAGCGTACAAAATATAGCTTGTGCTCGACGTTTTCAAGCGACATCGTTTCACGGTGTAGGCTCTTGAAAAGTTCCAAGAAGATCCGACGTTTTCGAGACAAATTTTGTTTAGCGATGAATCCCATTTCTGGCTCAATGGGTATGTAATGAAGCAAAATTGCCTCATTTGGGACGAAGAGTAACTTGAGGAGATCCAAGAGCTGTCACTTCATCCAGAAAAAAACAACAGTTTGGTGTGGTTTGTAGGCTAGTGGAATCATCGGTCCATATTTCTTCAAAAATGGTTGAAGTGAGAATGTAACCGTCAAGCGCGAACGTTATCGTGTCGTGACAACCTACTATTTGATGATGAGATAATTTCACGCTTGTGGGCGGTCGATTGGCCATCAATCGCACAACGTTAGAATCTTTCATCTGGGGATATGTAAAGTCTTTAGTTTATGCGTACGAACATCATGCGAGTCATCGGAAATCGGACTCAACGAAAGAGATATTCTTTAAAAAAAAATGCCAAAGAATCCTTTATTTTTATCTAAAGAGCTTTAGTGATCCTTTCTTTTTTAATTAAATTTAGCACAATTTTTTTGGCATCGGTTAATACGTCTTATTACGGCAGTCAAAACATTTAATTGTGAGTTCACGGATCAAAAAACTACTGCGCACATGAGACCTTGATAATTATAGTTTTCTGATATGCTAGTGAACGTGCGAGTTTCACTATCTAGAAATATTTATATGATTTTATGTATATACGTAATTCATATATATTTGTTATGGAACTAAAAGCAATATTATTTTAAGCAACAGCTATTAAAATATACGTATTATACCACGTATGAACTCATAGACTGATAAGAGTTCACTGAAACCTAGCAAATAAATGAAAACATCACTCATCGTACAAACGAATTTTGGAAAACCATATTTTTTTTGCTGCAGTGTAAATTTATATAAGAAGTGATATTTGAGTTCAACGCACGCACTAACCTTGATGGGTAACGATGAAGAGATGCTCGTCATGTACGGGCCGGTTATCCACAACCGAAAGCATACGTTGAGAACTCAAAACCTTGTCCAGCATCAGATATTCGCCATAGATCATGCCTATCTCGGTACCCAAAGGCGTAGCAGTGTCATCATGTAATGAACTAACGGTGTATAAGAGATCAGAATAAAGTAACGCGTGTATTTTTGACATTTGCAAAGATAATCTACACGTGAAACAATAACAACAAAAACGTGTAGTGATAAGACAACACGCCTACGCACCCATTTCCAGCGTACGGACAAGCCATGCTCAATAAGATTTCCTAACGATTTCTAAAATAATTACAATCCACATACACACACACACACAGTTGCTGAAAAACACGCTGTAAATTTCTCAAACTGTAATGCTCCACTTAAAGTCACACCGCGTAATTACCGCAACACCGAAACCGTCGAGCGCTGATAGAAAACTGAATGAGCTGCTGAGTTTTGTATGGAAATTCTTCGGATTCCTCGCTTTAGTCTGTGGCTTGCCGTCAGTGTTGAGCACCAGTTCGCAATCGATCGATTTTACTTCGAGATCAAATATCACTACCATATACTAGATTACTACGCAACAACTAGATTATCTCTTCAAATGTGTGTCTTCTCTACATATTTGTGTATATGCATGTATGCAAGCGGAGAGAGCCGGCGTGGTTGGCTTATCAATGCAGATTCGCTACGTTTTGTTGTCATTTAATATGACATAAGAAGTGTCTTGCAGAAACGGTGTTTTAGGTCTTTGACTTACTTCGACACAATTAAACATAAACCGTAATACAGATTTGTAAAGATAATAGATAATACAGGGTGCCAGTCATAGGTACCAGTCGAACCACTAAGGTTCACAGTACATAGTAGAGGTAACTTTTTCAATAGCGTTTTTTGACAGATCACACGTGAGTCGTTATTTTTGTTTGGTACAGATATTGTTTAGCATTTCATCTTGGAAAGACTTACGCCTGAACAACATTTGAAAATCGTTTAATTTATTACAAAAAACATAATCGACCTATTGAGCGTACTATTCGCAACACCATCACCCATCTTAAGACCCAACATTCTTTATTGGATAATTATCGATCGAATAGACCACGCCCAGCGCGCATTGCAGAAAAGTAGCTGAGACAACACGAAGACCTTGCATAGTCGACTTGGTGCCATTCGTAGCTACTCGGACTGACATATGGAACGACTTGGCTCATTGACTGTAGCTCGACCTTCGCTAGCGAAATCGGTTCGCTTTATGGGCTCTTGCAAAGCTCTAAAATGATCCGACGTTTTCGGGTCAAATTTTTTTCAGCGACTAGGGCCATTTGTGGCTCAATGCGTATGTAAACAAACAAAACTGCCACATTTGGGAAGAATACCAACCTGAAGAGATTTAAGCGCTGTCATTTCATCCAGAAGAAACTACGGCTTGGTGTGCTTTGCGGGCCGGTGGAATCATTAGTCCATATTTCCCCAAAAATTATCCCGGTGAGAACGTAACCATCAATGGCGACCATTATCGCGCTATGAAAACCGACTATTTAGTCTATGAAATTGAAGCCCGTGATCTCAGCGACATTTCATTTCAACAAGATGGCGCCATTTCCCACACATCGCATCAATCAATGGATATATGTACATATTGAGAGAACACTTCGGTGAGCAGATAATTTCACCTATATATACAATTTTGAAAAGTTTCATTGAGAAATAGTTGTGATAGAGTTTGCATTGATCATTTAGCACTCGGCTGCATTAATAGAATATTAGATATATATTAGAGTGATAAGAAAAATTTACTCTTGACCGGGGATATTGGTGTATACTTCTTGTCTGGTATGCAGTTTACGGCCCTTAAATTGTAGTACATGAAAATAAGTCATTTCGAAGGCAGCATCTTGAGATATAGAAGATCCGCTGGTGTTATAATATCTTTTCTGACTCATTTGATGTGTATTGAGCCTCAAAATAATATCAATTTTGGGATTCTAATGCTTGATAATAATTTAAAGTGTCACTTTTGAAAATATTTGGAAATGGAGCTAAATTTTTTTAATATTGAAAAATCGAACAAAGCGAAAGTAACTTGTCTAGTAGTTTTTCATAGTCAAACGAAATCGTTTTATTAATTTCTGATGCAGTTTCGCATCAATCTCGTGCAAGAATTGTTATTTTATACGAGATTTTGTGATGTTGACATGTCTTTATAGTTACATTTAAAGGTCTGACAATGAATCGCCAGGTTGTGCTTTTTATCATACCAAAGCTATATTTGTCATGTTTAAATAAAGGTAAGGTAGATCAACGGAAATTGGTTTGAATGTTTTCGCCATTCAGACTCCATAAATTTATTTTTATACTCTTGCAACTGGCAACAATCAAGCCAGGGAAATATCTTAGGGTGCAAACCGTCAAACAGAGGTTCGGAGTCCAAGCAATTATAGTGCTCGACCCGATTTGATCTATTTTTGCCAGTACTACATGCTATCAATAAGACACATATGTAGTAATTAAATGTTCCTAGAGATTCATTAGGGTACCTCACTTACCATTTCCATATTGAGTAAAGTTACCCGGATGTGGTATGCTTATTATATGGGGCCTAGATCAAGTTTTCTCTTCATTTTATCTCTTTAAGCACAACGACACACTGTTATGAGTAAAACACACTTCCTCACTTTCATAAAGGTAACTCTCATGTTAGAGAAGTATTGATCTGATTCAACCAATTTTTGACACTCAGACTATCCGATTTCATCCATTTTTACTTTGATGCTTACTTATGGCAATATATATAAGTTTTCCTTTAACGGGTGTGGCATCTGATTACGCCCATGTACGAACCTTACTTTTTTGCCAAGGAATCACATTCAAATTTAAGCCATTCCATCAAACATTTAATGTTCTATATTTATGTTATTTAAGTATGTATTTGCCATAACATGTTTGCTCTTCTGCAGCCAACTGCATGTTAATTAAGCAGCTCCGTTCGCCGGTAGTAGCCTTCGAAACTTTGCAGCACTTCGAATGGTCAGTGGACTGCTCACTGTTTGAAATGCCAAAAAGTGGCCACTTAAACTTTTATTATTTTACTTTTAGTGGGTTAGTTGAATTTACGTTCCACTCAAGTGGAAAATGGTACACGCATACAAACCCATCCATATATATAAAGGAGGCATATCCGTATAAAGGTTGTGCTTTGTGTTTAAAAGTAACCGAAATGAGAAAGTAAATGGATGCTACGGCTGAGGTATGCGTGAGAGTCTGTGTATGTGCGAAAGTACATATGTGTGCATGTGCACGCGTGAAAGAACGCAGAGCTTTTTGGCAAAGTAATGAAGAAAGCTCACAAACACACACATGCATGTGTGTCGGTATAATTACAGCAACTGTTAGTAACAGCGCTGACTTTTGCCTGCAATGTAAACTAATGTCACGGAAGCATTACACCGACTGCAAGCACATACATACGTAGGTACATATATACGCATGTACATATGTACCAGCATATTTGGACATGTCAGCATATGTTACAACATGTTGGCTGCAGCGAAAATTAACTGTTTTGTTCGACTTTCATTTGTTCGGCGTGCATCGTGTTCGTTTGCGTCGTTGTCGTTGTCGGCAGCGGCGAATAATGGCATCTCAATGCAAATAGCTTAATACGAGCAACAGCAGCTCGCCAAATCAGTCAGTTTCTTTTTAAGCTTCGCCCCAATTGGACGTTTTCGCAAGGACTTGGTCCCGTTGGTTTGGTATTTAACGCGCGCGCTTCAAATATAATAATCAAATAAACAAGGATACACACACAGTATATAATACAAAAAACTTGGAAAAATAATTAACGAAAATAAAGTGCAAAGCTTTACAATGTTTATGCGTGTCTGTGTGTGTGTGTCCTTCGTAGCGCGTCTGCTTTGGCGTCCATTCATTGCAGCGACACGCATTTGCTCCTTGAGCCTTACCACTTACATACATACTTACGTGTATGCAGGCGCATTTGTATATGTGTGCGCTTCTTAGGAAATTTCGTGCGATTTAATTCGTGCATTGTTGTTTTTATTGCAGTCACCTGCCAGCAATAAACTCGCATTCCATTTGACATTTCGGTAATTTTGCGCACGCTGTAAATATTTGGTGCATAAGAAGGAGAAATAATACAAAGAAGGAGAAAAAAATACAAAAACAAAGTAAAAAGTAGAAGAAAAATCAAAGTCAAAGCGCAAAAGCACTCAATATAAATATTATATGAGAACAGTACAATAAAAAGCAGCAACAAAAACGCGCTTTATGGCAAATGAAAGAAATCAGGGTCACGCATGGGCGAGAAAAAAGTGAGTTGGCAGGCAAGCAGGTCCTTAAAAAACAGAGAAGGAAAAGTACTCAACACACATTGTAAAGCGATATAAGCAGTAGATATGTATATTTGTATATTTGTTGTAATTACAGGCCGATTTATATAAAAATGCATATTTGATGTGTTGACAAAACACTAAAAATTAACTAAATGCTTGCAGCCAACAAAAAATATATTAAAATATAAAGTTAAATATGCATATTTGCCAATAAAAAATACAAGTGCGTTAGAAAAAATCTATTATATATACATGCATATATATGTGCATATGTTTTTATTATTAAGCGCGTGCGGCACGCATATCCTTGCAGTTCGTTGAAGCAGTTGGGCAGCTAGCAGGAACAAAAAAAAATATCAATAATGCCAACTACTCAGTCGAAAAATTGACTAATTGACAGTTAAACAAAGGCTGAGCAATCAATACATTGTAGTGCCAGTTAGAGTGAAGTATGCTCTTTTTTATATTAATTAAACTACGAGACAGCTATAGTGCTTCAAATAATAATTAAATCAAAAATCTATATACACTGTGATAAAAAAGTACACGGAAATAATAAATAAAACGCGAAATATTTAGTTATTCATCAATATTTATTTTTTCGCCTTCAAAGTAATACCCAACAGATGTAAGACACTTATTGCAACGAATTTTTCCAGTCCTCGAAACACTTTTCATAAGCATTTTTTTGAGAGAATCGTCAGCTCCTTCAGCGGATTTTCCACGGAGCAGAAATTTCGGTTTGAGAAACAAGGCAAGGAACCAAATCTGATGAACTCGATAGTTGATCGATGGTATTTATTGAGTTTTTGGCATTGAATTAGGTCATAATCATGGCTCGATGCGATGTTGCATTATCATCTTGAAAAATAATGAGCGTGACCTTGATTTTTGAGCGACTTTGGCGTGGTTTTTTCATTTCGGCTCCCTTTTTCCATTCCGATGATTGTTGACTTGTTTGCATGTCAAACTGATAAGCCCACGTCTCAAGTTGGATCGGTATTCGCAAGATCAAGCACGTCTAAAAAGCTCTGTTTACGGTACGCTTTTTGAAGAAACTTCAGCTTTATCGGGACGAGTTGAGAAAAAATTCGTTTCATACCCGTGGATGTTTTGATCGATGTCGAGCTATTTTGCCATCTCTCTAACACTTGCCTCATGACTATCAAGCACCTTATCTTTCAATTTTTTAATACTTTCATCAGTTGAAGAGTTCGAAATTCGTCCAGAACTAGGCATATCTTCAACGATCTCTTGACCGTTTTTGAAGGCTTTGTGCTACTCGTAGGTGTTTTTGATAAAATTGAATCACCGTATGTCTTTTTCAACATTCGCAAAGATTCCGCATATGAAATTTGGTTAGAAATACAAAATTTTAGACAAATTCTTTGTCTTTCTATATTGTCGAAAAATCGGAACGCACTCCTGTAGTGTACCGATTTAACCAATTGCCCTAAACAATCTGGTTGACAGACCGCGCTCATATTTGGCATAGTAATTTAGGACAGTTCTACCAAAACACATTACAAAACACATTTTTTGGAATTATCATTTATCAATTTCTGGGTTCTTTTTTGTCACAATGTATATATATTTATATTTAAAGAAAGTTTGGTTGCTAAAGAATTTGAGGTACACAGGGCGGTAGAATAAAAACATAAAATTGTGGTCTTTTGCGCCCTATATACCTTGACTACAACAGAAAAGATCATACGTGTTAGAAATTTTTTACTATGATTTTCGTTTTTAACAACACAAAAATAGTTGTTAGCTCTAACTCACAGTCATTAAATTACTCTAAACTGGTGTCATAGGCCGGACATCCATGATATTTCACATCCAAAGGCAAACAAAAGTAGAATAGGGATTTCAAGCATACGCTGAGCTTGAAGAACGGTGAATTATTGGACCAATATGTCAAATTAGGACGCAGACCCTCGATAACACCAAACGATGCAAGCTAAACAATTTCAAGCACGGAGAAGGAAGGAGAGAGAGCTGAAAAGCATAATGTTGACTAAACTATGTATATTACCGATTGCAGTCAGTTGTCCTAACAATCTACCACTTTAAGCAGGCAACCCACTATTATTTCTTATTTATTTATTATAATAGTTACCTCCCTTTCTTCATTATCTCTTTATCCTCGGATTATGTCGCAAATACTTCCATTTCATTTCACACTGCTCTACTCATGTCGTTGTGACTGCAGCGGCATTGGTAAAATAATGAAAGATATTTTTTGGTAGGCACTATAGGCGCAGCTGCACCATAACCACAAAATTTACGGTGCATTTGCTGCAACTCACTTGCCAATTGCGCCAACATTGGAAGATAACGGGCCAAAAAGGAATGTGCCGCACATACAATAAAGATATGTATATTTGTACATACTTATTATATATGTATATATACACATAAGCACAATAACGTGAGCCAAAATCAGTCGATTTGCAGAGAAAAGAACATTCCTGCAAAACAATCTAAAAATCGATTTGTACAATTAAAAAAAAAACTACTGAGATCTCCGAAGGTCCTCCGTGATTCCTTCTCCTTAATTGTATTAAAAAAAATATTCTGACTAGAAGTTATGGCACAGTGGTAGAGGGAACACTTCTTGAACTTGCTAAATGCCAGAATTAATACTGCGATGGACGATGGACGAAGAAACACCTGCACCAACAATCTAATGTGACAACATTGTCGTCCCGCCACTCGACCAAGACGAGATGAAAACAGCTCTCAGCCGATTAATTACCGGCTGAGATGTATAAAGCCGTAAGCGAGGTGCTGGAAAGTGGCATGTTCCAGCTACTAAGCATAATTTGGTCGGATGAATACATGCCCAATGATTGGAAAGCATGTGGACTCTGCGCTATCCACAAGAAGGGAGATCCGGTAGTCTGCGTGTAGCGTATAAGGTTTTTTGACAGTATTGTGCGAAAAGATTTTAACCCATTGTAAATAAACTTATTGGGTCTAATAAGTACCTTGGATTTTCAAAAAACGTCAAGTCCTGGAGAAGGCTTTTGACAAACAGATTGACACTCATCGCCTTTTTGTCGACTTTAAAGCCGCCTTCGACAGCATCGAAAACTTATACGGTTATGCTGAATGAAGTTAAGCACAATCATCAATTCCATTAAAATCGGAAAGAGCCTCTCCAAGCGATACCAAACGAGGTTTCCGACAGGGAGATTATCTCTTGTGTATATTTTTCAAAATAATGCTGGAAATAATAATGAGTGCGCGTAATTAAAACCGCAGTGGTGCTGTCTACTCTAAAAGTACAATGCTACTGGGGTACGTAGATGATATAGATATCATAAATTTAACAATAGAGCCGTCAGCGCAGCCTTTACAAGCTTTTAAATAGAAGCGTTAGAAATTTTTTTTTTATGAACGTGGGCACGATACCAAAGCAAGCATAAATTCCACCAATAATCTAAACCTTATGATCAAACGCAGAATAACACTTGGAGCCTTCGAGAGAACTGTTCTTCGCAAGATCTTTGGAGTCGTCAGCGAGGCGATGAGTATTTGTAGATGATGGAACCACGAACTGTATGAGCTAAATGGCGACATGGATATAGTACATGAAAATTCAACGAATGCGGAAGATAATGTTCCAGCGAAAAGCTCCTTCGACTCGAGTCCCATGGGTGGACAACGGAAGCAAGTGTGCCCACGCATCCAATGGAGGGACAAAGTGCATAGCGACTAGTCTGTAGCTGGCGTGAACTCGCAAAGAATAGAAGCAACTGGCGAAATTTCGTGTTTTCGGCTAAAAAACTATTTGACATGACCACTTTATCCGAGACTATTTGAAGAGCTGTGTCATTTGTTTCACCGTTGCGGAATATCACTGTGTCCTGGAACCCATTGCAAGTGATTCGTGAAATAGGATGTTAGATCCATTAAGAGATCAAGGTATTCGATTAAACTATAAAACTTTAATGATTTCAAAGATGCCTGCTTATCAATAGATTGCTTGTTGTAAGCATCTTCTTTGCAGAATAAGAAGGCTAAATTACTAAATTAATCTTGCTTCTAAGACAGAGCAGTGTTGTGGTAGTCGGTAGGCGTTTCCAGTATTTAATTTCACTGAAAGAAATCAATTCCCACTTGACTATCTAGTTGGGGCCATCTGTACAGATACTTATCCCTGTGTCCCCGTTTACCTCACCACTATTCCACGCCTCTCTGGAAAGAAAGACAATATTGGGAAGCGAATTTAAGTTTAATTCTAAAGCATTACGAAAATCCGTGGTATTGGGTAGGAACGGTACTAACTARCTAACTATCCTAGATTGTATTTAATTACAAAAGAGTAAGAATTCTCTCAATCGGTGCTTAATTAAGTTGAAACTCTGTATATACATAGGTGCAGCCGATAATTCATCGGCTTCTGGGACTGAGTTTTTTTTAAGCCTTAGAGCTGTAGATTGCTGCTGCTGGTTCTTCTTCGTCCGACGCAGTATTGCTGCGGCCATTTAGCAGGTTCGAGAAGTGTTCCCTCCACATTTCAAGTGTACTCTATCTATACCATATCTTCAAGTCAGAATTTTTTTTTTTTTTTTTGGTTTCAATCACGGAGAAGGCTGGAATCACGGATGACCGTCGGAGATCGCATGTAATTCGAAAAATATTAAATTTTTTCTTCCAAAATTTTACTGCATATTCCTAATATGTGTATAAATATATCCTTAGTTTGGAAACGGGTAACCCGAGAGTTCGATAAGTTAGATTTTGGCGCACCCTAATACACATCAAAGTATGTATATAGTATGCGTCTATGTAAAAGCGACTAAGTGGTGAGAGTCTGTATCACTTTGGCTCCATTGAATTTCTACCAGCTAAAACAGCAGCCAACGAAAGCACCACAAATGCACAGCTACTTGTGTAAAGTAAATAACTGCAACTAAAAAAAGTGCAACGAAAACAAAAACAAACCATCTAACGGTCAGTGAATAGGATCAATGCCAAGTATAAGAAAAACGAAAATCAAATAATAACAAAGAAGTGCGAGCACAGAAAGGGAAGCTAAAGTAACAAAAAACAGCAAAAGTATCAAATGAACAACAATTTGTGTGGAAGGAATGTCTGACTGTCTGTCGCCGTTTGTGTGCGCATTGTTGTGGGCATATAATTTATAGAAATTGAATAATTTAAAGTGTGTAGGCAGTTGTGCGGATGACGGACTGTGCATAACAGCAACACAAACACCAACACACACACATACATATATGCAGCAGCTGCAACGATAGTTGAGGCAGCAACAACAGTAATAGTTGAGGTAACAACTAAAGTGCAGCAACAACAACAGTAGAACAATCATACGCCCAGTCACACCTCAGCGCCATTTAAGAAGCTGTGTGTGCCAAGGCGACACTTCGACAGTGTCTTGACGAACGAATTCCACGCATAACAAGCACAGTGCTGTCATTTAAAAAGATTTACCGTATTTAAATTGACACTTGTGCCGCTATAAAAAATTAAATAACATATACAATACATGAAAATTATGATAAAAAAAAGAGTGCCACTTGAAGTTAAAAAAAATTAAAATCGAATAAAAAAATTTAAAAAATATATAAATAACAAAAAAAAAACAATTAAGTATTATTAAATAAATTTCTTACATTAAAAAGTTAAAAAAAATCTCCAAATTCTACACAAAGAATTTCGTGCTAATTCCCCTCACTGTGATATAACTTATGCAGCAGAACAGAAACTAAAAAAAAATCCACATAAATACATATAAACTACTTTTAGTACCTTAATAACATAATAAAGGCAACGTTTGAGCGTTCCCACATATTTACTAACATACATATGTACATAATGTATATAAATAATAAAGCATATGTATAGTATATAAAACTATATAATCTGAAATAAAAGCAGAACGTGGCAACCACTCGACTTTTATGCGCAATTTGTCGTTTGATTACATCTCACAAACACGCAACAATACAAAGCAGCACTATCACACATAAGCACATTGTTCAGCTAAATGTGGAGAGAAAAAAATAGCAAAAAATTGGAAAGTGGAAATAGAATAGAATAGCAGTAAATTTTCATATTAAACGTCGCCAGTGCAAGTCACTTTTAAGTGGCGCCCCCAGCTAACAGCGGCAGCCTCCAGTGCCGTCGAGCGCAAGTGAGCAGGCACATTACTTCACCTCACATCGCCGAGAAATCGCAAAACTTGTTGCCGGAAACTTGTCGTGGTGCGGATAAGGACAATGGAGTCGCAACATAAATCGGTTTTCATGCTACTCTTCACTCTATGCCTTACATTAAGCGGTAATTATACAGAGATTTTTTATTATCTTTTATAATGAGACATTGTTTAATGTGATCGTTCAGATGATACATATGTTAAAATTATATTGTAAGTTGTGAAAATTGTAAGAATTTTCTTTGTTGCAAAAGTTAGAGTGAGTCAAGAAAAAAAAACCAAATAATATTGAATGTATGGGTTATATAAACCCATAGAGAGGGAGAACATATCTTGCCAGTCAGGATTTTCAATTTAATTTTAGAATGCCTCGGTGAACATTCACAGTTTCCGATATAAATAACTAAACAAACATCTTTTATTAACACTACCATTATTTCAGAACCATTTGGTATTAATATTTTTATATCTTTAGCATAAAATGTCCAACAAAATTCAGCGGAAACGTTCACCCACAGCTTTTAAAATTTAAATAAAAATCCTGCATATAGATATATTTTTTTATCTGTGTATACTTATAGCTTCATTATAACACATAAAATGAAAATTAATAATTTTTTGCTTATCCTAATACATATACATTGTGACAAAAAAGTACGCGGGAATTATGAATAAATATTAAGTTATTCAGCTATGTTTATTTTGTCAACTTATTACTTTGATCACCATCAGATGTAATACACTTATGCCAACGATTTTTCCAGTTAACGAAATACTTTTCAATACCATTTTTTGGGATGGGACTTTAAGTCCTTCAACGAATTTTGTTTTATCTCTTTGATCGACTGAAAACGGGTTTCCCGAAGCGGCAAGTTTCAGTTTGTGGAACAAGAAAAAATTACACGAAGTCAAATCTGGCGAATAGGTTGGCTGATCGCCGGTATTTATGACGTCTTTGACTTTAAATTTGGTCACAATCGTGCCTCGATGCGATGGTGCATTATCATCATGTATAATCCATGATTTTTTTTCACAATTCCGATCATTTCCGATGGATACTCTCACACAAACGCCTCAATACAGCCGAATAAAACTCCTTCCTCACCGTCTGTCCCTCCGGAACATATGCATGATGCAGCAAACCACGAATGCCAAAAAAAAAAAAAAAAAAAAAAAAAAAAAAAGAAAAAAATAATACAAAAAAGTAGAAATAAAAAGCAAGGTTGATTGCCGCATGTCCCAGATTTTTGAGCGGTTTTGGAGTGGTTTTTTCGGTTTCGACTCAAACTCATAAATCCATGTCTTATCGGCAGGTATAGTGATCTNCATTTCCGATGGATACTCTCACACAAACGCCTCAATACAGCCGAATAAAACTCCTTCCTCACCGTCTGTCCCTCCGGAACATATGCATGATGCAGAAAAAAAAAAAAGAAAAAAAAAAAAAAAAAAAAAAAAAAAAAAAAAAAAAAAAAAAAAAAAAAAAACAAAAAAAAAAAAAAAAAAAAAAAAAAAAAAATCCGCATGTCCCAGATTTTTGAGCGGTTTTGGAGTGGTTTTTTCGGTTTCGACTCAAACTCATAAATCCATGTCTTATCGGCAGGTATAGTGATCTCCAAGATTGTGGAATTGGAATTCGCAGGATCAAACATGTGCAAAGAAATCTGTTGAACCCTTCTTGAAAAAAATTCAGCTTTATCAGGACGAGTTGAGAAAGAAGGCGTGTCATAGCCAAAATATGTACCAAAATCATCCAAACAGAGTAGCGAGAGTTGTAGAGATTTCTTGCCATCTCTTTAACACTTGCTTGTCGATTTTCAACCACTTTCTTGTTTTTAACATTTTCATCAGTTGATGAAATCGAATGTCGAGCAGAATGAGTTATGTTTTAAACGATCACTGGACAGTTTTACCATTCGTAAGTTTGTGTTTTTATTAAATCTAAATAAGTATTCGCGACGATTCCGCACACGAAATTCGGTTAGAAATACAAAATTGGAGGCACATTCTTTGTTCGATATTTTTATCCATTGCAATAAACGCACTACTGAGCTGTACCGTCTTAAGCTGCTGTAAACAAACTTGTTGACAGATCGCCATCATATTTGGACGATCATTTAAGGACAATTTAACAACTTAGCAAAATAATAAAAAATTTTTTTGAAACACGATTTACCCAAGGAATTTCATTACAATTTCAAAATCATTTTTTGTTACAATGTATATGTATCAAGTTGATACTTAGATAAAATAATATACTTTAATTGCCTATTACTGTCAGGATATACCACACGTAGATACATAAATTATTGAATGCTGGTTTCTACTACCACATGTTTGTTCTAGGAAATTATTGTATAAGTTTTATTTTGCATGAGCAGTAAGTCGTAGAAATTTGTTAAAGAGACTTTTATGTTAGAACAGTCCAACTGAGTTTGATACTCTTGGCCCCGCAATATTGCCTCCCGTCTAAAATGTATTATTTTTTGGTGATCTCAAAATTAGACTGCCGATACAACACTGGCCTTTTCAATCGACTCAAAATTCTGCTCGTCGCGGGACATTTCTAGTTTCTAGTTTTCTAGTTTTATTCACCAAATGGGTCCGTTGATTATGCAATTCACCGCATCGTCGGCCCAATAATTTTTATTACTAAAGTGATCGGAAATTTTCAATGTCATTTGCGGTTTTAGAAACCCAAAATTAGTAAGCAACGGCGTCTAATATCCCAGTTGCATAATGAGTATAAACTAGTATAATAATACATATTTTAGTTCCAAAAATAGCCGGTAATAAGTTGTAAATCAACTCATTAAAAATTATTCGCTCCTTTTTATGTCTTTTTCTAAGCACGATTTTATAAGTGAGGATTTTTTTCTGGAAACGCAGTCTTCAAAATTCAATTCACTGAAATTTTCATATTAATTTTTTAGTTAAATTTGTCAGGTACTGATAGCAGGACTAACATATTTGGCAATAATTTTGATTTATTAAGTCGCTGTAAATTGTAAATTTTATCACAAAAAGTGGTAATTAATTTTTTTTTTTACAAAGTCTTATTTTGTTAAAAATGTAAATAGATCTTCGTTCATTATCTATTTTCATCCATAGTAATAATACATTTTTTACGTTTTGGATTTGAGATTATTTAAGTGGAAAAATCATTCTCGCCGTCAGGCATTTATTTTCGAAAATTCCTGAATATTTGCTAAGGAATCAAGAGCATTCAAGGTCTTTAAAAACGAATCACTGATTACTAAAGTACATTACATTCTAAAAATATGCATTTTTATATATTTATTTGATAAAATGTTTCTAAAAAAGTGCACAAACAAGTTTTTTCCTGTCTTGAATTTGAATATAACTCATCGCAGGCCCATATCTGCAATAAATGGTAAACTACACTGCATTGTACTAGTCAATGTACGTAGTATATAAAATTGTTCCACTAGGCGTATGAGTAACATCCGCAAATGACATAAATTGTATATGAAAGTCCTGATTTCGTCAAAATCTTAAAGAGGTTTCAGTTTTGAATCGAAAATATAATCTTACATAAGATTGAAGAAATAATGCTATATAAAAGTATTTTTATGAGAGGTTACAAGGCATATGGCTACCGATTAACACTCAGTTGAAGTAACCTTGAATCCATTACAACAAAACTCTCCAACAGGCTCTATAAAGTTGCAAGCTTTAAAAATATACTAAATATTGTTATTGTTATTAATATTTGTTATTAATATTAATTTATATTAATTATATTACATAATTTTTTACTATAACATTTTTGGAATTTTTGAAGTAACTTCAAATCAAATACATTAAATTATATTCTAAATACTGAATACAAGTGCAATCTTTCAGTTTATCATTTGCTGTTAAGAGAATTTAAATACTTAAACCTACGAGTACTTCCTCATTTATTGGAGCACAAATCAAAGCATTAAAAAAGACTATAAAGTAAGTTTCATCAATATTTTAAAGCTAGAGAGATGGAATATTTAATAACAGCATTGACCTTATCATAAATTTTCGATTTTGATTTAGACACTTTGGGTGAATATATGTATGTATACAAATGTAAACACATATAAAGCATATAACGCAAGCGAAACTCTTTCGCATTCTAAGTGGCATTTGCTGAAGCCAATTTCGTAACTCCGTAAGGGCACGTCTGCCCAACCGGCACCGCTTTCATATTTCATTTATGCCGGCACAGCACACTCTCATATGGTTGTTGTTGTCGTAGTAGTATTTCTTGTGTCCCTAGAATATTTTGTTGCTAACATTGAAAATACTAAAACTAAGAAAATTCCAACAACAAAAATTCCGAAAAAAAATTAAAAATAATAAAATCAGAAGTACACGGCCATGACTCTCGTGCAACATCGTGCTAACATGCAATGCAACGGCAAATACGATGCAATTGCAACTGACAAGGTAGCCTGATTGTTTGCGAATGTCGACGATATATGTGCATGTGCACATCCATACAAGCAAACACTTAAATGTAAGACTAGAATTTCATAGTCTCTTGTAGTATATATGAAAATTATTTGTCAGAAAGTTTTTGAAGTACAGGAAATTATAAAATTTCTACTTTCTATAAAGTCAAAGTTGTTATTCAATATATTTAGGTGAGCTTTTCAAAAATATAGAAAAATATCTGATGCTGACATTTTTCAAATATTATTTGAGGATACTCACTCGACTCGAAAAATGCCTGTTTCGGCTTAAAGCACGCAATATATTTACATTTGAAGCTATTATTAAATAATTTTGAAATATTGATGATGATTAACAAGATAGATTAATAACGAACAACCCAAATGAAAAAGTTATCAGGAGCTCCCAAAAATTATTATTAATATCTGATTGTGACTTAATGAAAAAAAAAACCAGTCGAAACTCTCATCTACATACTTAAATACGATTTAGAGATTTTGACGAAGAGTTATATATATAGCTAGCAGTACGAAGGCTTCGAGCTATTTTTAACAGCGAATACAATGAAATATCTAGGATTTATCCTGGATATGACGCTTGCATAGAAGCCGAATATTGAAAAAAGAGCAAAATGTATCGATTACCTAGTACGGCTGTGGAGGAGCCACTGGCAAAA